AACAGCGCCGCCCGGAGGGAACAGCCAGCATTTCAGTAACAGCGCCGCCCGGAGGAAACAGCCAGCATTTCAGTAACAGCGCCGCCCGGAGGGAACAGCCCTGCATTTCAGCAACAGCGCCGCCCAGAGGGAACAGCCAGCATTTCAGTGTTACAGACTCTCAGACATTGGGCTACTATATATATAACGGCATTGCGCAAACCTCATTTGCATATTTTTCGCGCAAGAACCTGCCAGTGTAGACATAGCCCAAGTGAGCACAGCAGCAAGAGCAGAGTGGGGAGAACCCACATGCTGTGTCCTGCCCTAGCTGGGGTCAGGGTTCCCCTAATTGGGGTGCAGAATCCCCCTTTAGTGGGGGGGGGGCTCAGCCCCAGTTGGGGCCTGGGAATGGGGCCCTGCCATGTGGGGGGAGGGATAGCTCACTGGTTTGAGCATTGGCCTGCTAAACCCAGTGTTGTGAGTTCAATCCTTGCAGAGGCCATTTAGGGATTTGAGGCAAAAATTTGTCAGGGCTGATACTTGGTCCTGCTGTGAAGGCAGGGGACTGGACTCAATGACCTTTCAAGGTCCCTTCCAGCTCTAGGAGATAGGCCATGTGACAGCAGAGCCCATAAGCATGGAGGGAGGATCCATCTGAGCCCCATGTACATGTCACAAGCACAGCAACTTTAAGAAGGGTCATTTCACTTCCTTTTTTGGTGTGTAACCCCATTGGGGGGGGGGGCTTTAAAAGGAAACTAGAGTAAATTCACACAAATTCTATTCTGTGCAACCAGCCCTGCCACCCCCACCCCCAGTATGAGTTGCCAGCTGGGTTTGAGAGCTGAGCCTAGCAGAGGTAAAAGTCTAACAGTAGCTGGCAGCAGTGGCAGGTTGCTAGCCCACCGGAGTGATGAGCATTAGGGGGTGGGACTGGGAGCTCAGCCCAGCCCAGCCCAGCCCAGCCCAGCCCAGCTGTCTTCTCAAGGAGGAAACCTCCAGCTCCACCGAGGGAGGAGATGGGCATCTGGAGCCACTTCTAGGTCACAGCTTTCCAGCGAGAATCCCCCTTTGCTGCCCCCAGCGGAGTTGGCAGAGCTCCTGCTCCCTGCGCTGCCCCAAGAGGAGACACTGGGGCCATGTGCAGGTTTGGCAGGCGGGAGCCCAGCCCCAACCTCGCAGCCCTGGGCAGGCTGCTAAGGGATACGAGGGAGGAAAGGGAAGTGACGTTTACAGCCTGGCCAGAGGCAATGGGCTTTCCCAGCCCAGGCCTTTCTCCCACTGACTTTCAAAGGCCTGCCACGAACAATGGGACCCTGCAAAGCTGCCTGCAGGCTCCGGCGACAGCCCTGCCTTGGGTCGGCTCTGCTCCCAAGGCGAGAGGGGAAGGGCAGCTGCTGTGGCTGGAGCCCAAAGCCGAGAGACTTGTCTACGCCCACATGCTTAGTTGCTCCCGGCAGTGCAGAGGGGCTGGCAGCACAGCCCGGGGCCCAAAGAGCATAGGGAGTACATACACACAGGAAGGCTCCCCTAAGCCCTGGTGTTTAGCATATGTACATGCATTTGGGCCAATGCCCTGAAACGCATCCCATCAGAGAACCCTGGGCAGGCCGCAGGGAGCAGCCAGCTAGACACAGCCCAAAGGGGCATCTAATACCGTAGCCAGGGTGCAAGAGCGAGTGGCCTCAGTGCACAGAAGACAGAGCAAGAGGGAAGATGTTGCACCAAGGGACTTGTCTCCAGCCCTGAGAGCAGCCAAAAGAGAAGAGCCCAGAGGCAAAGGGGGGGGTCAGCACATGACCTGGTGGTGGAGAATTTTATTAGTCAGTTCCTCAAGCAAGAAGGTGGCGAGGCCAGGACACAGACACGCAGAGGACGTGCTCCCAACAGAGGGGGTGCAGTCACTGGAAGACTCTTCCACACGCTCGGTGGCGGCCAAAGTCAAGACACCTCAGCAGAACGGGGTTCACCCCCTCATGGATGCTGCGTTTGAGCAGGGCGTGAAGGAACACACAGCAGAGACTGGAAAAGCCACGTAATCCAGGCAGGTCCCAGCAGGAGAGGACGGAGTCAGACAGCTCCAGGGCAATCCTAGAGCCGGAACACACTGTGCTCTCCAGAGGGCTGGCCCATCCCTCTCTCCAGAAAGCGTCTCCATAACCCTGCTGGGCCAGGCTCCACCATCCTCCCCCAGAGTGCTGCCAGCCAGCCCAGTATGAGTTGCCAGCTGGGTTTGAGAGCTGAGCCTAGCAGAGGTAAAAGTCTAACAGTAGCTGGCAGCAGTGGCAGGTTGCTAGCCCACCGGAGTGATGAGCATTAGGGGGTGGGACTGGGAGCTCAGCCCAGCCCAGCCCAGCCCAGCTGTCTTCTCAAGGAGGAAACCTCCAGCTCCACCGAGGGAGGAGATGGGCATCTGGAGCCACTTCTAGGTCACAGCTTTCCAGCGAGAATCCCCCTTTGCTGCCCCCAGCGGAGTTGGCAGAGCTCCTGCTCCCTGCGCTGCCCCAAGAGGAGACACTGGGGCCATGTGCAGGTTTGGCAGGCGGGAGCCCAGCCCCAACCTCGCAGCCCTGGGCAGGCTGCTAAGGGATACGAGGGAGGAAAGGGAAGTGACGTTTACAGCCTGGCCAGAGGCAATGGGCTTTCCCAGCCCAGGCCTTTCTCCCACTGACTTTCAAAGGCCTGCCACGAACAATGGGACCCTGCAAAGCTGCCTGCAGGCTCCGGCGACAGCCCTGCCTTGGGTCGGCTCTGCTCCCAAGGCGAGAGGGGAAGGGCAGCTGCTGTGGCTGGAGCCCAAAGCCGAGAGACTTGTCTACGCCCACATGCTTAGTTGCTCCCGGCAGTGCAGAGGGGCTGGCAGCACAGCCCGGGGCCCAAAGAGCATAGGGAGTACATACACACAGGAAGGCTCCCCTAAGCCCTGGTGTTTAGCATATGTACATGCATTTGGGCCAATGCCCTGAAACGCATCCCATCAGAGAACCCTGGGCAGGCCGCAGGGAGCAGCCAGCTAGACACAGCCCAAAGGGGCATCTAATACCGTAGCCAGGGTGCAAGAGCGAGTGGCCTCAGTGCACAGAAGACAGAGCAAGAGGGAAGATGTTGCACCAAGGGACTTGTCTCCAGCCCTGAGAGCAGCCAAAAGAGAAGAGCCCAGAGGCAAAGGGGGGGGTCAGCACATGACCTGGTGGTGGAGAATTTTATTAGTCAGTTCCTCAAGCAAGAAGGTGGCGAGGCCAGGACACAGACACGCAGAGGACGTGCTCCCAACAGAGGGGGTGCAGTCACTGGAAGACTCTTCCACACGCTCGGTGGCGGCCAAAGTCAAGACACCTCAGCAGAACGGGGTTCACCCCCTCATGGATGCTGCGTTTGAGCAGGGCGTGAAGGAACACACAGCAGAGACTGGAAAAGCCACGTAATCCAGGCAGGTCCCAGCAGGAGAGGACGGAGTCAGACAGCTCCAGGGCAATCCTAGAGCCGGAACACACTGTGCTCTCCAGAGGGCTGGCCCATCCCTCTCTCCAGAAAGCGTCTCCATAACCCTGCTGGGCCAGGCTCCACCATCCTCCCCCAGAGTGCTGCCAGCCAGCCGAGGAGCTCCATCTCCCTGCCTCCCACATTAGTCTGCCAGCCCGCCCCAAAACACCAAAGGCGAAACCCAGCCAAGCTTGCATTCCTGACACTGGCCCCAGCCCCCTGCCCTGCTCATGCAACACAGCCCTTCCCCAGCTCCCCCTAGCTGAGCAGCTCAAAGCACTTGCCTCTTAACTGCACCTCACGGCCCCCTTTACTAGTGGGAAACTGGCAGTGAAGGGCAGGGACTTGCTTGGGCAGGTTTCTCTTTCAGCCTCCTTCTCTCTGGCCCAGAAGGGCTGTGAGGGTTAATTAACAAGCATGTGCAAAGCCCCGCCCTCGCCCACCCCCTGATTACTCTATTTGCTATTAACCCCCCTGCCATCACATCTGCTGCTCCCCATGCCTGGAGTTCTCCATGGAGGGCAGCTGAGCCAGTGCCAAGGGGTGGTGACTTGCACAGACAGTACGTGAAGCCAGGTGTTGGGGGGTTCTTCCCCCCCAGGCCATGCTCCCTCCCCCTCAATCCAGCTTGCTGTCACTCCTGGGCTGCGCGCAGGAGCCGCTCTTCATGTCTCTTCCGCATCCGCTCCTTGAAATCCTCCAGCTCCTTCCTCTGTGGCGCAGACAGGATGGGCAGGGTCAGTAAGCATTATTGTTCACCCGCTTCACGCCCCTGTGCCACAGCCCCCAGGTACCATCTCCCTCCCAGGTCTCCCTCGAGCCCGCAGCATAGCTGGTGGAGGTGGGAGAGCTCTTGCTGCCTTCTAGTGCTTAGAGTGACTCAAGATGCTGCTGCAGGTATTGGAGCTTGTAACTCACTCAGTGTGGATCTCGTGGAGGGGGAGGAGCACGACAAACAGACCCCTCTGGCTGGTCCCAAACCCGCCAGGCACTCAACAAACTGCTTCTCCAAATGCCAGCTGAGTCCTGGGATGGGAGGGATTCAGACAGGGACAATTATCAAGCACCTGGAGACACCAGGTAACTCCCTGACTGCAGCAGCACACCTAGCGAAGGGTCAAAGCAGCTGTTTTGGCCACACGATGCTCTGAAGGCAATGGTGGGGGGGAGAGCTTCATCCTGCTCTGCCAAAGGCAACCTACCCCAGCATGGCCCCAGAGGTGTAGATCCAACCTCCCAGTGGCTGTTAACCCCAATGACCTGTGGGGGGTAGGTTAGCAGATGTCATAGGGTAGAGGGGCTCAGCAGAGGCCTCCAGAGCTGGGACATATCCTCAGCAAAGGTCATGGGAGGGGAAGGCAGCATATTTACCTGGCGCTCATCTTCAGGTGGGTAGATCTCCCTCTGAGGAACCAGAAATGCAGATATGTGAGGATTACCAGCTAGCTAGGGGGGTGCTCGGGCCAGCCTGATGCAGCAGGGGTACTAGTGCCATTACTGGCACAGATGACAGGGAGAAATGAGTCCAAAAGACCCTGCTGGGATGTTTGCCATTTCCACCCCCCCTTAGCAGCAGCTTTGCTATCAGAGGTGGGGAAGAAGCAGGTCATGGCAAATGAATGTAGCTGTCTGGTCAGCTCTAGGAAATGCCCTCCACAGACATCATCCCCAACTTCCTTCCATGAGCTCTGACTGAACCCGCGCCCCCCTCATTCTAACCACTAGCTCACACTACCCTCCTAGAGCTGGAAACAACCCTGGAGTCCTCCCCACATAGTACCTCCACAAAAGCTTGCACTCGCCTCCCAGAGAACAGCATGCTCACCTTCCTTTTGATGACATATTCTTCGAAGTACTCTGCTTGGTTGGAGATCCAGAACATGGCAACAGGGAAGGACAAATACAGAACCATCTGCAGAGGAAGAGAGGAAAGGAGGAACACATGACACACATTAAGGGGAACACTGAGCTGAGCTGCACTATTTGATCACCTTAAACAAAGGCCTGGCATGAAATCACAAGTATTGCACAGCTCAGTTAAGCAAAGCCCCCACAAAACATGTGGCAATGAATTCAGCACAGACCCTAAGCCGGCAAAACTCCTAGGACACAGGGAACACACAGTGACAGGACTTCTTCTGCTGGGGTTGAAATATCAACTCCCCCCAGACGTTAGCTCTGCTGACACAGGCTCTCTTTCATCAATATAGCTGCCTCTCCACTGGGAGTTTTATCGGCATACCTCTGGCATGAAGGGGCTAGGGATGTAAGCAACTAGTTGAGTATTGACTTGACTAGTTGTTTCCCCCAACTTGCTGCCTCTATCAGACAGAGGCAGCTGGGGGAGGGAACAGGAACTGGCTTAAAAGACAGTTCCCCCGAGCACTGTCTCCACAAGGGGCAGCAGAGGCATAGTGGGGGACCGGTCGCAAGCCGGGAATCAACTGCTTCCTGGCTTGTGCCTGGTCCCAGACACTACCCCTCTGCTTTTTAAATGTATTCAGAGCTGCCAGGCTCTGATACCAAGCATGACTGGGAATCAGCTGTCGCGGCTCACACCCGGTCCTCCCACAACACCTAGCGGCTCTTAATACATTTAAAAAGCAGAGGGGCAGCAGAGTTAGCTTCTGGGGCCAGGAGCTAATCCCACTGCACCTCTGCAGTTTCCCCCCTTATTGACTAATGGATAGAAATTCCATTGACTAATCAATTAGCAATTAAATGCAGTTTAACATCCCTATAAGGGGTATGATTCCCCCCCCCACACACACACATCCTTGACCAATATAGCTATGCAAGTGTAAGTTTGATCAAGCCATATTAAAATCTGTTTCTGCAGGAACTTTGTGTGCATGTGTCTGTCTTTTTAAGCTGTCCTCCTTTTCTCTGGGTCCATGAAATAACTAAGGGAAAGTTAAACACCTCGCACGTTTGGAGCATCAGCATTTTCCAAGGCTGTTGCCAACGTATTTTCCCTTTAAGAAGAAAGGAAGGACCTGGCTAGATGTGTTTCCAGGAGCTGTATTATACACTTGCCAAACAGTACCTTAAAATTTCATGAGCTGAAATTTTAAACACATTGACATAACATAGGCAGTCCACATAAGATCCTGCTCACTCACTGCAAGGACATTCCTTCCTCAGGGCCTCAATGGTGGAGTCCCATCCCTCTCCTACCACAAAGGTACATGACCCCTACAGAAAAGGGGTACAGTGGGGAAAAATTTCTACCAACCTCCTGTTGAGCTGCCCAGTGCTTCATGCTATGTTGGAGCCTGCTACTCTCCAAGGGATGCCCCATCTCCAAGGGTACCACTGGGCTGCCAGATTGTGACAAGCAGCCTGGACTCTTTGTTTTGACCTAGAGCCCTGGCTCCTGCTGCTCAGGGATGGCTTCTAATGAGGATTTTCCGTTTTAATGTTTTAACCACCTCTGTACCAGCTCCCAGGACAGGCAGCCAGTGCTGGATTCCCCTTTCCTTGCCTTCCAAGATGCTCAATTCTGGCCCCTTGGCTCCAACTCGTCAGGTACCAGGACACTCCAACCCAGCGCCAAGGGACACAGGCAGGACCCCAAACTGGGGGGGGGGGGGAATCACAAGCAGAGCTCATGCTGGGCTACCACGCCAGGGGGAACAACCACGTGTAGCGGGACAGAGACTGACCTTCCGGGGCACCGAGCAGGGAGTCTCAGCCCATGTGGGAACACAGCAGGGCCTCCCCCTGCCCCTGCCCAGGGCCCACCCCACCATGTACCTGCTTCCCGGATCACTACACCCCTCCCCCAAGGCTCCGTTACTGACCCGAAACACCTCCAACTTTACCCCCATCCTGCCCGTTGCGCCGCAGCCACTTCCGCCCGGGCCCGCCGCAGCCGTGTCCGACCTCCCGCCCAACAACAAACTCGACGCTTATTGGCCACCAAGGAGTAACAGCTTCGGCCGTTGGCTAGGAGTTCGGGGGGGCGGGCTGGCCACGCCCCGATTGCCGGAGTAAAGATGGCGCCCGGACGGAAGTGGGCCGTGCAGGTGGCGTTTCACCGGAAGTGCGGCCTTCTTAGGTTTTCCTCCCGCGCGGGCCGCTGGCTCTATGACGCAAAGAGAGCGCGTCGCTTGCGTCATCGCCGCGCGTCGGGGCCTGTCGTTGTCGGTGTGCGGGGAGCAGCGTCGGGCGTTGGCGCGATGCCGGAGCTGGAGGAGGCGCCGGTGGCTGGCGGCGCGGGGAAGCCGGACCTCTTCTTCGTGAGTGCCCGCGCGGGCGCCTCGTCCT